CCGCAGCACAGAGTGCGTGTTCACAAGTGTGGAACAAACGGGGGAGGTGAGTGATGTGTGCTGGTGGGGATGTCAGTCTCTGTCAGGGAGTGGGGCTGGATTGCGTGGGGGTCCATAAGCAGTGGCCATGTAGGGAGAGAGAAAGAAAGGGACAGGGGAGGTTTAGGTGGGGGGAATGTAGGTGGAATGTAAGGGAGGGCCTTGAAATTCTAGACTGAGGCGTGAGGCCGATGACATCTATGGAAAACAATTTTATTTGCTTTTAGAAGAGCACTTGAATAGTTCAGATTCCTGCCCAAAGTCGCTGACCTCCATGCTTAATAATCTGATTTAATGGAAACTTACACAGCAGTGGGGCTTCCAGCAAGGGTTTAGGGTGGGAGTTGGGTGGGAGGAACAGAGTTATACAAGCCAGCACTCAGGGACCTTGAGTTTTTAATCCTGACCATTCCAGGTATAAGCAAGGGTGTTTATTGCCTGCTAGGAGGATGTCCCCAAATCATCCCTTTGCAGCCACCTAGTCCTGCCCCCATCCCTACAGCCATCGCCCGAGGACAACCTCAGCCCCTCTACCTTGGGCCATGGCCCAGCCTCCTCAATGCCCCAAACTTATCTTCATGCCTGACATGAAGGTCGGCAGAGCCCGACCTGTCACTCTGCCCAGAAACCTCTGGGCCTTCCGCTGCACCTTCACGGGACAACCGTGGCTCTTCTAACAGACCCTGCCTCACTATCCGGGCCTCAGGTGGGCAACATGGGCTCAAAGGAGACATCTACCCCCGCCCCCTTCTTAAGTTACCGGCCTCCCCACTTGGCCTGAGGTGGGTTCAAGGTGACCTCCACGCTCCCCCTGGGTGGGCAATGGCTTCCTAGAGACGCATGCCTGCTCAGTCACCTCACCCTGGAAGGCTGCATCTAAGTTTCCCCATCAACTATTCTGACTAAAAAGGAGCAGCTCCCAGGTGCTTGGGGCTCCAAAATGCCCCAGGCATAAGGGTAGTGTGGCAGGGTGGGCTGCCAAGTCAGCTCCCGGCTCAGACAGATCTGGGTTCTGGCTCTGGTTCCACCACTTAGTAACCTTGTTATGGTGTTAACTGCATGGTGCCTCACTTTCCCCAGTCATAAAGAGGGGCCAGCACTATGAGTAGATCTACCAAGGGGTTTTGTGACAAATAAGTGATAAGTGATCAGTGCTGCCCAGGATGGGAGGGGTGGGGGAAGCTAGCTCCTGGTTGCTTACTATGAACCACGACTGGAAACTATAACATGTTGCTTTACGCTACCAATTATCAATGGATAGTTCTAGCTACTATATTTTCTTATTAGAAATCCTCATCAGGTTACTAATTAAGAGCAGCCAGTGCTAGGGAAGTGAAAGGCTAGAATGTTCTGCTGCTGAATTCTCCAAGGAGGGGGGCTGCTCTCCTGGAAACAGAGAGCCTCTGAGCACTCTGTGGGCCACTCTTCCAAGGATAATTAATGGCCTGTCCAGAGCCCAGGTTGGAGTCCAACCATCCAAGCCAATAGGCCTCCCTCCCCACCAGGCTGGGTAGAACAACATCTGAAATCACTGACAACCACAGGCCGGTGTGGCGCTGCGCTGACCCAATCAGCAGTGACCTCATTTCCAGGGTTGTAATCTCCAGGGGCGGGCGGGGGGGGGGTCTCACCTGCTGTGGTCAATAAACTGCCAGGGAGGGTGAGCTGTGACCTTGGGTTCTTCCTGAAGTGTGAGGGCTTCCCTAGGGTCAGAGAAGCTTCTTCGGAGACCCCGAAAAAGCTATGCTTTTTCAGCTGGATTTTCCTGTGCAGTCCCACTCCTGCATCAGGGTCACATGGCAGCAGAGTGGGGGTGTTAGGGTCACTACATGGTAGCAGATGGAGCTCTGCCCTGGGCTCTGCACAGGCCTCTTTTCTCATCTTTGCCTCCCCACCCTTCCTCCAGGCATTCACACCAAAGGGAGAAGTGCTTACTGAGCATGGGGCTGGATGCCAGGCAAACACTCCATTAGGACTGTGAGGGACCAGAGTGTCCACGATGCTCCCAGGAGCTGGGAAAAGCCTGGAGAAGAGGAGGGGGCAGAGCAGCGGGAACAAGCTGTGCTCTTGGGAAAGGAAGGAGCCCTGCCCTGGGTAAACGGAAACAGGGAGCTGTCCAAGCCTGCTGGAGTGGCTTTCGGGGCACTACAGGCACATGGCAGGTGTGTGTGACCTGCTCAGGTCACAAGCTCTAATGACGTCCAGACCTACCTGCCTGGGCCCACTGCTTCAGCGCCACCTCCCCCTCCGCCCCCCTCCCCTCATTTGCCCTGCTGACTAAGGTTTAATAAGCTGCCCCACAATGTCATAGGAGGTCAGGTTTAGCTCAAGGGAGAGGACAAGGAAATTAACACTCAAGGAGCCCTTATCACAAGCCAGGTGCTGAGCTGCCTTACAGCCTTTGTAGTGTTAGCTGGGAAATGAGTATGAAATGCATGAAAAGATAAGATCTAGTGATATTAAAGTACATTAGGTGCTATGTTAAGTACCTTGCAGGAAAACAAACTTGTTTTAAGCCTCACAAAATACCACTGACTTTCTCTCTTCCCCTGCTTTGTTTTTTTTTTTTAAACTCAGAGCCCTTCTCCCTAATTAATACATTAATGTGTCTATTGCTTCTCTGAGCGTGGAACGACATAGCAGTAAGGCATACTCCGTTCCTGACTTTGGGGTCTCCGAACCAAGGAGGGTTCTGATTAATATACTGTAGAGTACTGGCCTAGCCAGACTCGATTCTACCTTTTCCTGATAGCTCACTTGGCTCTAGCCACACCAACTTGCTAGGTGCTTTTCATATACATACCAGATAATTCCTGTCTTGGGGCCTTTGCACTTGCTAGTACTTGGGACACTGCTGGGGCTGCCTAGTTGCAGGGGTACACATGTGTACCCTTCTCAACTTGCTCAGAAAATTTGGAGCCTGCACAGCAGCATCTCTCCCAGGGAAGGGGGTGCAGCCCAGAGGAGGAGCCTGGCACACAGTAGTCTTTTATAATGCCAGCGGGGCCCAATCTCTTGCCGTTCTACCTACCTTTCCCAGTGACAACTGAGAAGCCCAATGGCTCAAATGTGCACAGGGCAGGGAGACACTGGACTCTGAGGGAGATCCCCATTATGGGCTGGGGGTTGAGGGGGGCTCGAAGTCCCTTCTGTGACCCTTGAGTAGTCAGGGAATCATGTCTTTTAGTGATCAAGCTTCCCAGACCTAGAAGAGAGTTTTGATTTTGATCTGCCCTCCCTCTCCCTTGTTTGGTTGGCAATACTGAGAGCCAGAGAAGTTTGGCAACTTGCCCGGGATCACAGAGCAAAGCAGTAATCCAGCAGAGGGCTGGTCTTGGGTCTGGGCCTCCTGATGCCTTGCCCAGGGCTCTCTTCCACCACTGTGCCATGATACCCCCCGCACCAGCAATGTTAACCCGGTATCAGCAGGGTTAACAACAGGATCAGAGGGACAGGGAAGGCAAACTCTCTTGTACCAATGGACATAGGAAGCTACATCCAAGAAACAAATGAACGAGATGCTAGGACAGCAGACCTCAGGAGCCATCTCTTAACTGCATGAATGTGACCCCATGCCTCTCTTTGCCTCAGTTTCCTCTTCTTAAAGAGGAGACTACTACATTCCAGGGCTTTTTGAAGATTATATGTGTCCTATATTAATGTTTATATAACCGCTAGGCCCATCTTGGGCTAAGCAGCTATGTTTTTAGTTTCCTATTGCCTTGTGGCTGAGAGAAGAGCAAAGGAAACCAAGAAATTCCATGAGTGAAAAAGAAAATTCCAGTGTTGAATACAGGAGTAGGTGGCCAAGCCCGGAGATGACTTTGGGGGTTGTAAACACAGAAATGAAGAGGCTTGGAAGCCTTGGGGCGGTGGCAAAGGCAGGAAGCTCCTGGCTCTAGTTTCATCTCAGAGGGGTGTCCGATGAGGCCGTGACTGAATAATTCCAATGGCATTCTAGTTACACACCCCAGCGTATTCACTGGGTTGCCCTGGGCTCAGATGATTCTAGGAATCAGGGATGGATTCACTCTGCGTCAGCTACTGCCAGGAAGCCCACACTGCCGGAGTGTGGGCCTGAGGAAAGGGAAGGGGGTGCCGCGGAGGGCCAGGCTCTGATGTCAGCGGCCTCGCCCCCCTTCAGTAGGAAGTGGCTCTCGTTTCTCTGAATTCTCCCAGCTTTAACATCAAATGACCCTGTGATGATTCAGAGGAAAAAAGCCCACTGGTCAAACAAAGGAACGGCAAAGATGAGCAGATGACGGCTGTTCACCAGGGACCGGGGAGGGCCCCCAACAGTACGGGACCAAACTTTTCTTTTTGGCTGTCACAAAGTCACGTTCACTTAGGCTCTAACTTTAAAGCCCTTTTCACAAACACGATGGGACAGGTGCTACAGATTGGAAGGTTCAGGGTACTCTCCTCGTTTTTAATTATTTTTCCTTTTTGTGATGTCAGCAGCCCTTGGTGCTCAAAGTCATACTTCAATTTGAAATGTAAAAACATAAAGTTAATGACAAAGAATGGACACACTGAAAATACTGATGGAAAAGCAACCGAAAATGAAAAGGGAGTATTAACTCTGAGTTAATTGGTAGCAAAATCACTAAAGCGAATGTTTTAGCTTACATGTGCCTGTAATTTCTAGAATTTAAAATTCTATACAGTAAAAATTAAGTCTCAGACTTCTTAGAAAACACTCAATTTCTGCCTCTCTCTACTTTCCCTATTTTCTTGCTTCTCTGTACTATTACTCTAGCACTGGCCGAGCACTTAGCCAAGTTATCCATCTATCCATCCATTCATCCATCCATCCATCCATCCATCCATCCATCCATCCATCCATCCATCCATCCATCCATCCATCCATCCTCCTTTTCTCTCCTTTTGAAATTCCCTCCCTCTTTTCATCTTGAGTTCTGGAAAGTTCTGGGATGCTCCTTTGGGGGCATGGAACTTACACTTCTGTCGTTATGAATCCGGTGAGCTCCGAGAGGAAGAGGAAGAGGATGAAGAGGCAGCAGCAGATAGAGACTGGAAGGGACACAGAAATAGACAGTTAAGGCACTGATGGTGGGAATTCAGGCACTCTCTTTCCCTTCTCTGCCCTCAGAGAAAAGCTGCTTAGATGGAGGGGGCAATGGCCCTCCAGACCCTGGAAAGCCCCTCCCAACCCTGGAAAGCCCCTCCCATACTCTTGGCTTTGAAATGAAAGAGTCCCACTCCCAGAGAGCAAGACCACTTTTGGTTCTATTTGACCTTCCTGCCTGGACCCAGCCCACTGCATGGGCAGACCCTCCTGGGCACCAGCCTATCTGTCTTTTATGAAAGCTCTTTAATGCAGAGGTTTGCCAAAAGTAAAGGCTCCCACAAATGTATGGTTGGCCTTAACTGATAAATACTTTAAAAAGTGGAGCCAATGTTGAACAATCTGAAGATTTCACAAAAAAAATGTCCAGAAGATTTCTGGCTTCTCCAGAACACACAAGCCCTTGTTCCCTGTGGGGTCTGAGCTCACCATTTTGCCAAAGGTCCCACCACTCCCGCCTGCTTCGCAGCTTCTGAGTGTCTGCTGCTGTTTATCACTATCCCCTGGGGTACCGTTAACACTGCCCATGTTTCCATTAGAAATCAGACATTGAATATACTGAATGCTGCACTTGAAGAGCAGGGGCAATTCTTTATGGAAGAGAAGAATGGCCCTATGGGTCTGAAGTGCACAGAGCATAGAACACAGCCCCAGAGTTGACCTGCTTTGCTCAGATTTCTCTTGTCTGCTTGATGATGTTGGCATTTGCATCCCATGGACCTTGGAGTCACTCCTTGGGACAGGACATAATAAGTAACCCCAGGATCTGGGCTCAACTCATCTCCAGATTCACTTTCTGGTACTCCTCCAACATCCAACCACGCAGCCACATGGAGCCACATGCTGTTTGCTAAGGATCTGTCTTATTTCTGTTCCTTTGTCCCTGCAAATGATACCTCTGTCTGGAATGACCTTCCTCAGCTTCCCTCCTTGGTCATCCTCTCTGCATGGTGAGCTCCCGCTCATCCTTCTAGGTGTAGACTCAATTCAAATGTCCCTTCTGATGGGAAGCTTCCCTCTCCACCTCAGGTAGAGCTGGCCTCTCTTTCCCTGGGTTCCACCTACCACGTGTCTCTGGATAAGTTACTTAACCTCTCTTTGCATTAGTTTGCTCATCTGTAAAATGGCAAAAGTAATAGTACCAGCTTCTGGAGCTGGTCTGAGGATTCATACCATAGAGATTTGGGCCTTGAAATGTACCTGGTAGGAAATAATGGCTCAAGCATTAGCACATTACTAGGACTTATATCAGGGAGGCCTTGGAGGCTCTGGTGATTTGGGGAAGATGCTTTGATAAAATAGTTAATCCTTGGTTTCCTGCAAAGAAAAAAAGCTCCCAGTTCCACTTGCTGGTCCTGCTACATTCTTGAGAGTCTGGCTGAAACCAGTTAGGTACCATCGTGGCTATCACTATTATAATCTATCAACAAACAGTCAAAGATGCATCCTGGGTGAAGAGGAAAGAGAAGCAGTGTTTGCTGGGTGCCTACTGTGTGCCCCATTGGGTGAACTTTAATAGATATCCCAGGATTTCATACTCCCCCCAGAGAGGGAGAAGAGCCTGTGTTCAGGGAGAAGAACGACTGTCCAGGACCCACACTGGACAGGGGCAGGGGACAGGACTGGAGTCTGTATGATCTAGAGTCAGTGCCCGATAAACTCGGGCTCCAAGTGGAAGGTGGAGCAGGGTCATCCCCAGAGTCTCCGCCAAGCCTCCAAAAGCACAGTCAATGTGGGGAAAACTAGAATTACTTCTCCTTCTTGAAAATTTTGAAAAAGTTATATCGATAACATTGAAGGGTTTTACTTGGGGGGCAGGAAGAGGTAACAAGTGCACACAATAAGAAAAATAGCTGTATAAAAAGGCATCCCGAGTGAGTCTCTGTCTCCCTCCTGATCCACAGCCCCTGCTCAGAGGCACCACCGTTACTGTGTCTTTCCTCACATATATGAGTGTAGATATATAAACCCTTCTTTTCCTCAAAGCAAAAGCAGCACAATATATACTTCCTTTCCCACGGTGCTTTGCTCACCCAGCAATCTGTTTTTAACAGTTGCCACATCAGTTTATACCAAGTGGCCATGCTTGTTTGGTTTGCCATTATGGAGTAGAAATTAATTTCAAATGAGGATTCCCTTCTGCTGCTAAACACATCCACTGCAGAAGGTCAGCTATGAATCCAAATTTCCCAGCTCACACCCTTCCCCTATGGACATGCCAATTGCAGTTATAGTGCCGCCCACTGAGGGGCAAAACACCCCTCACCTGGAATCTTGAAACTTCTTTAATCAGTGTCCCACACAGCCATGTTTCAGAATTATTTTCACCCCTCCATGCGAAGCCCCAACAGCCTACTGGATGCTTTAATGAAGAACAGGCACACAATAGGAGGTGCTTGGGAAGGTCAAGGCTGACTTAGATGAGTCCAAGTCTTTCAACTACCTTCTACACCCCAACCCTGCAAATGGACCCCAAAGTTCTAATTCCACCCAGATAGAGAGCGGGAAGCTAGTTAGGCCTGGAAAGGCCTCTTTCTGAAACCTGTGTGCTTTGTTCAAGCCTTAGGTCAAAGCTGGTCACCCCAGCAAGCAGACAATAAGCACAGAGTCTGCTCAAGTGCCCAGGAGTCCTGATCTCACGTGCTTCTGTGCCAGTTCCTTCCACCTCTTCCCCCAGACCAGGAGGCCAGTGCCTCAATGCCACTGTGGCTGCCAGGTCTAGTAGCACGGAGCCTGGCTCAGAGAAGGAGTGAAATGAATATTACTGAATGAATGAATGCAAGACATGAAGGCAGATAGGAAATGTTTCAACCAGAAAGACCTTCTGAAACTGAAGGCTGGATGAAGATTTTTCAATCCATGTTTGGGCAGGACACTAAGGCTTCCTGACTTCAGACTTCTGAAACTGACTCAGGCATTTTAGAATAGGAATGTAACCCCGGGAGAAGGCTGGCAAGTGGGAACCCTGGTGCAGCCTGCACCGGGGCACTCAACCCAAGATTCCAGGAAACCAAGGAATTTGTTCAAGGCCACACAGCCACTTAAATAGAAGAGCAAAATTCAAATCCTGACCTGAGTCTTTAGCAGCCTCACCAGTTCCTGCAGTGATGAGTTGCACTTATCACGACACAATGAGATGGTCTGTATCTGCCTGGCCTGCTCGACCACACGTGTGTACCTCAGACAGAGACTGAACCCTGTTCATCAGTGTGGTCACTGCACTGAGCACGAGGCCTGGCCCCTAGACCTGGTGAATAAATATTCACTCATCATGCAGGAGCTAAAGGCTTCCCCAGCCTCACACCATTCCTGTTGTGGACAAGATGTGGCTGTCTTACACACTGTGGCAGGTGTGCAATTAGAACTTGTCCCCAGATGGTCACTCAGCATTGCCTTCTTAATTTTACAATGCACATGCCCTATGACACAGTCATTCCTCTTCTAGGGACGTTGCCTTACAAGGACACCACACAAGGACATAAAAAAGGGCAGACATTGCTATTACGTCTATAATAGCAATGAACTACAATTGGGACATCCACCCGCAGGGGGCTGGTCACATAAACGGGGTAATGGAATGACACAGCTGGAGCAAAGGTGGTGGCCTTTTATATGTCAGTGGAGAAAAGGGCAGGGAGATTGGGGTGTGGTATGCTCCATGAGTGCTTAAAGCAACAATATATCAAAGCTTGAATGTAATTTTTAAAAACTCTAGGACACACACCTGATTGTTAAACATAGTTGACAAGGGAGAGGTGGCAGGGAAAAAGAGGTTTGAGCTGTTGGTGGTCGGAAGGGGCAGGAAGCTTCATTTGAATTTTTTTTGCCAAGTTCATAAACTAATCAAACAGACAAACCAGAGCCCCTTTCCTTCCATGCCCCCTCAATACTCTTTCTGTGGGGATCAAGACACAAAGTGTCACAGCTTCTGTTGTCACAGATCATCATGGGCTGTGGGATTTCAGGCAGAAGAGGAGTGTGGTTCATGCTGATGACTGAGCACATATCCCAGGCTTGCCAGGCATAATCTCACCTAATCCCCACATCAGGATGCTCAGAGAGGTGAAGTGACTTGTCCAAGGTCACGCAGATGGGACAGAGCTTGCAGGACCTGCATTCTCTATCCTGGCTGCTCTGTTCCCTTCCCCAGGGATGCAGAGAGCCAGGGCTGGAGAAGGCACCCACAGCTTCACTGAGCCACACTGGAGGGAGGGAGAACTGGGCAGGGCCTGTTATGGTGCAGGGATCCCCAAGGTCACCTCCTACCTGACAATGGCCTGCCCTGGGAGCAGCAATGGACTCCACTCTGATGTTTCAGCCCCAGGACTTTGCTCAGAGGACAGTCCGTGGGCAGGGTCCCTCCCTCTCCCACACCTCTGATGCTCTGGAGAGGCCAGGCAAGTGCAGGGAGGTCCACCCTTCGCAAGCTATGTAACTTCAGATAAGTCACTTCACCCAGGGAGCTCATTATCTCACCTGGAAAAGGAGAATAACGTATTTCTGTCTGCATGGCGTTTTTGGTTTTTGTTTCGTTTTGAGGAGACATCTTATTGTGGTGTAATAATGGACTATAACTATAGTCCAGAGTTCCCATGGACCCTTCACTGGCTGTCCCTCATGCTCCCACCTTACATAACCACAGTGTGTGTGTCAAAATGAACCAGTCAACATTGTACAATCATGTATGACACTGTTAACTCTCCAGACTCTTCAACTTCCCCAATTTCCCTGCTAAGGCCCTTTTTCTGTTCCCAGACTCTATCAGGACGCTCTATTGTTGTCATGTATTTGGTCCCAAATCTGTGATTATGCCTCGATTTTTGAAGACCTTGCCATTTTTGCAGAGCGCTGGTCCTGTGTCCCACTGAATGTCCCCCGATCTAAAAAATAACGGGGGTTATCTGATGTCTTCTCATGAGGACACTGGGCTGTGGTATTTTCCACCCCATGGAAGTGAGGTGCCCTTCTTGTCACCTCCTGTTGGAGGGTGGTGGCATCCACGGGGCTTCTCATTGGTTGGTTAACTAATGTCCGTCACTGGGTTAAGTTGTCGCTGGGTTTCTCCACAGTGAAGTTACTATTGTCCCTTCCATTCTCTATTCCTTGACATGAGTCATTAGGTCCAGCCCACACACCAGGAAGGAGAATTAAGCTCCTGGAGAAGACATATCCATATATATTAACTGGAATTTTTCTGAAGGAAGATTCATCCCTTCTCCCCCATGTATTTCTATCAGTATAGACGGGTAGACTTTTTTCTTAGTTCTCTGGGCTCCAGGCCAATAATACTATTATTCCTTTTGTGACTCAAGTTTCCCCAGCGTTGGTCTTTGTCTCTCTCAGGGTGGCTCCTGTGTCCTGCTGACACGCCCCCATCCTTTTTTCTATGCTTTCTGGCACAAAGTGTTCCAGAAAGTGTTCTGTACTCTTCCTGTCTCAGCCCCACATGTAGCCATTCCTCCAAGGAGCCCCAAGTCCTTTTGTTGAATTTAGAAACCAAAATCTAGGTGAGATGATTTTTTTTTTTTTAGATGGGTAAAGACGTGCTTATGTCAAAAACTCAAATGGTCTGAAAGGTATAAAGAGCAAAGTCAGCCGCCCTCCCACTCCTGAGCCTGCTTCCTCTCCCTGGGGCAGCTACTATTGATGTCTGGCATGTCCTCCCAGAATTAGGTAACGCCTTCCCCTTGCAGGATTATGGTGAGGACAGAGACAAAGTGAGGAATCATATGAAGGGCCTGGCAAGAGGGCCATCATTTCCTTCCTACTCCCGTCTTTCATTCTTTCCTCCAGGCCCAGCTGTTCTGCACAAGGTGGGGGAGGGGCAACAGCCAGAAGGGTGGCTACTCACTAATGGCCCCAGTGTACGTTGGCTGCGTAAGGTCCTTGGGCACCTTCCTGTAGATGTCAAACCTGTGGAGAGCAAAGGGGACAGGGTGAGGTAGGCATGAAGGGTGGGTCCTGGGAAATGAAGCGGGGGCAGGGGCAGGGGTGGAGGTGGGATTGTGCAGGTGTGCTCTCTAGGTGGGCAAATGATGGTTCTTCAGAATCAGGTCCTGCAAGAGGCCTGAGGGACACCCCCTCTGATGGGACCCCTGTTCCTAACACCTTATACAAACACGATGACCACCTGAAGCACACTTTGCTGTTTCTTGGCTGCCCCCCACAAATCAGAATGTAACCTCTATGAGGGCAGGGACCTACTTAGGTTTTGCACCCCACCATGTCCCCAGACCCCAGCACAATGCTTAGTAGGCACTCAGTAAGCATTTGTGGGGGAAATGGACTGAGGCAGCACGGGTTCTGACGCTAGAGGGAACAGGGAAATGCATTCTCTCCTGAGCTGTATGACGGGGCTGCATTGTTGCCTGAAGTCACCTCTCCACCCCCTCCTTCCCTTTCCGCCCCCACTGCCTCCTCTTGTTTCCATTCCCCCCTTCCTAGGCTCCAGCAGTCTGCTTCTTGAAGATTCTTAACTCCGAGGCAGGAGGTTTAACGTAAAATCCTGCCTGGAGCCCAGTCTCAGCATCAGCTCCTGACGGCTCTGGCTTCCTCCCTACACCCCAGTGTGGGTTTCCTCTCTGGCAGCAGATAGAACCTTCTAGAGCAGAGGGAAGTTGTCAAGTGAGAGGGAAGAATACGGGGTTCTGAAATCAGACAGATTTGGTATGAGTCTGGCTAGCTGCTTCAGAAGCACAGCCCCAGAGTCAAACTGTCCTGAGTTCAAATCATGGCTGGTCCTTTTCCTTGCAAGCAACTTCACCTCTCTGAGCCTCGCCATCCTCATCTGTAAACACGGGGCTACTACAACTAGAACCTGCTGGGCTGTTGAAAGAATACAGGGAAGTAAATGTCTGTGGTGGATCTGACACTGAGCGCTCACAGGGACGGCCTCTCACACACTAGGCTTCCAGTGAAGGAAACGTCACTCGACCCAAGCAGCTGAGTTCCACCCACAGAACTCCAAGTTCACACACTGCTGCCAGGCTTTCTGGTAGAACACGGCCTGGGGAAGAGGCTGGCTGCTCCAGTGCTCGGGGGTGACAGGCGGCCTATGGTTCCTCTGCCATGGGAAACGTGAGCCCTCATAAGCCTCAATGCAATGGCTTGGAAATCTTTCGTAAGATCTGACACTTGGCTCCTGTGTGCTTACTCTAATTACACGTGAGTTGTGCTTGTGCACTGTTTCCTAAGACCTCAGGGGAGACAACTTCCTGTGAGCTGCCAAGTTCAAAGATGCCACTTTCCAGCCTGATCTGTTCCCACCTGCCTGTGCTTGGGCCCTAAGGGCACTAGAAATGGGTTGGGAGTGTGATGGGGGGAGGAGGACACACACATGACTCATCTATTGTACCCGCTCACCCCCCTTATTCTGATACACTGATTCCTTTAACTTTAGGGGTTCACTGGAGGTTCCAGGAAGAACCCAAGAAGGGCAGCGATCTTGGCCTGGGATAGTCCGTGAAGCTTCCTGCAGGAAGTGATGTCTGAACAGAGCAGAGGCATGGGAGTGTCAGAACTCAGCAAGGGTGAAGAGAGAAAAGGGGAGATGGTTACACACTGGGGAACTGATAGAATATGGACATAGTGAGGATAATGGGGGCCAAGTGGCTTAATGTGGGGGAGGTATAAATAGGGAAAAGGAGAACTCCTGTGGTTTATTATTAGAGTGAAATGGAGGTACTGGTGTGGATTCAAGACTTTCAACATACACAACTGCTGAAATCTGTGTGTAAGTACATGTGTTGCATTGTAGGGTAAGTGAAAATTACCAGGCTTTTCCGCCCTCCTGCCATTAGCAGTAATAATACATCCCTGTGTCCTACACTCATGCCTGATGGTGGACACCTGGAGTAGGGTGTGGGCATGCATAGATGGGCACACGGGCTGAGACTGGGCTTACAAGGGCAGCGTCATGGGGACGCCAGCAGAATGAGAACAAGAGGAGAACGAGAACAGAACCAGCAGGGCAGCAAAGGAGAAGCAGAGACCACGAGAGAATGCCAGAGAGCCCAGAAAGAGTGAAGATTCACCGGGGGTTAGGGGGCTTGCTAGCCTCCTGGCCCCCAGGCCCTCCTGCCTGCCTGCCGCACTACATATGGTATAAAAGCTTAATAAAAGCCTGAAAAGCCACCGAGGGCTCCAGGACTCTCCTTTACCCACCTGCCTGGATCATGGAGATCCTGCTCTGTGCCATGCTAGCACTACAGCAGCCACACATCATATATACATCTATTTCCTAGCTCTTTCCACAGAGAGGGTCCAAGAACAGTGATAGTACAAAGCAATGAGTGCAACTAGCTGTTAAAGATCCACACAAAGAACCACAGCTCCTTGCAGAAATGGCTAACTCCAGGGTTGGGCAGGGAAAATAGGAGATGAACTTGGAACATCTTCTTAGGTCTGAAAACAGGAGAGTCTTCAAGGAAGGATGGGCATATGTCAAAAGAGCAAGGAGTCAGCTTAAAGGGATTCTCACCAGTCAAAGAAGACACAATGTGAGTCTTAATATAATCGCAGCAATAGATTATAACCCATTGGATAAAATAGGAAGTCATGAATCTATATAAAGAAATAAATCAAAAAAAGGACGCCAAGTGATGGGATCTGAATAAGACATAGAGATTAGGAGCCAGTTCTTTAGAGCGTTATTTGTCTGGTTTTGATAATGGTCTTATGGTTGTGTAAGATGCTCACACCTGGGGTAACCTGGGTGTCTTTGGATGGTTTTTACAATTTTTTTTGGTACAAGTCTGAAACTATTCTAAAATGAAAAGTTTTTTTTTTTTTTAATTTAATGGAAATGAAAAAAAACTTTTAAAGGGGAGCTTCACTTAAAATTCTACCCAGTGCATTTTCTTTCATGCATATCTGATCACTGTAGGCATCTCAATTTGAGGTGCTGGCTTTACAAATGCTTGCTGAGTATGCTGGGGGTCGCACAGAGTATGTTTTTGTTGGGGGTGGAAAGGGAACAAAGGACAGAGAGAATTTGGATTAAAAGGGAATGGCCACAAAAGGATGTAGGTGTCTAGAAAGAGTGGATGATACCACACAAGATTATAATCTAGTCATGCATTAATTCTCACAATAACCTGGCAAATACTTGTATCATTTTTTCAGGAAGAAGACTAAGGCTCAGCTATAAGCAACTTACTCAAAGTCACCAAGTCAATGATTAGCGGAGATGGGAGTCATGCCCAAGTCTGACTGAGTCCATAGGCCATGGTCCACCATGGCCCTGACCTGTGGAATCCATTTAGAGCTCAGTATTCGGAAAGTTAGATCGACACCTCAAGGTTTTGCTTAATTGCCTTTCCAAGGGCAGGTGGGAATTTCCTACAGACAGGGTCTAGTTTAAAATACTAATTAATTCACTCAACAGGTATCTACTAAGTACCTCTCTATGGTCAGGCAATGTTCTAAATGGCGAGTAAGTGGAAATGGTCAAGGTGGACACAAAGATCATGAAACCCTTGCCGTCATGAAGCAGCCAGTCAAGCATCTTTTGGACCCTTGAGAAGGGCCATCTAAACAGAATATTCTTGGGGCCTCCCTGGTGGCGCAAGGGGTTAAGTCAGCACTATCAAGCTATCGGCAGCCACTGTAGTAAGGGTCTCGCCTGTCCTGTCTCGCCTGCTGCTTCCCTCAGTAATGTATTTCAATGGATCCACCTGTTCTGCTCCCCACTCTGTCTCCGGTTAATCCTCTCACCACCATCCCCCCACCTCTGACCTCTGGCCTATACCCCAGCTCTTGTATGCATAAATAAAATAAATCTTTTAAAAAAATAATAAAAAAACCCAGAATATTCTCTAATAATGATCCCATTCCCAAGCCACAAATCTAAGCTGGGAAGTGGTGGTGGAATAAAGGGAGAGCTGAAAAAGATCCTGGGTTCAGGGTTGACCACAAGTCAAATGAGTCAGCAGTGAATGTCACTTAGAAAATGGGCCATTGGGAGGCTGGTGAGAACCCCAGGCATGTGACAGGCCAGGAAGTGAGCCGTCCCCTCTGGCTCACATTAGTCAGTACCTCACTGTGATGATGCGATTAGCTGTGGCCACACCACTCACAGGAAAATGTGGAAGAAAGGATAAGGAGAGCAGAGGAGGGGGACAGGACATTCATTGTACACCTACTGTGTGCTGAAGTCACAACAGGCTGTCATTTTCTCATCCAATTCTCTCGGTTAGCCTCTGAATTGGGGATTGTCATTCCACTTACAGATGAGGCTCAGAGAGGCTGGTGACTTGGCTAAGTCTGCATACTGACAAAGTGTAGCCGGGATCTGAATCAGGCCTAAGATATAGTCATGCTGCTTGTGGGGATAAATTGGGACCATTTGGGGGAGAGGGGCAGTTCTTAGGAAGAAAGGTTAGGAGAATTGCTTAGTCTCACAAAGAGAAAGCTAAAGATGGACTCTTTATGATTGCCCTGTTCTCTCACTAGACTGTGAATTTCTCACAGGCAGGACCTAGGCCCCCTTGCTGCGCAGTCCTGCCCAGTCCAGGCCCTTGGGAAACTGATCTGAATGAACGAGTCACTGAGTGAATCTTCCCCTGAAAGATCTGATCACAGAAAAATAAGATTAAGATGAAGTGGATGTGGGGAAGCAGGGTGATGGGTACACAGGGGGTCTTTCAATGGTTATCTAGAAATTTTCACTTTAAAAAAAAAAAAAAGATAAAGTGGGCTGAAGTTGAAGCAAGAGAACAACCAACTGGACTTTAGAAAGACTGACCTGAATGCCAAGAGCCAGAAGAATGAGAGCAGGGACATGAGCCAGGTGGGCCAGGGATTTACCTACCACCTGTGGGGATGGGATCCAAACTCAAGAGACTCCACAGGGACCTCCTACCTGCAACACTCTCCACCTTCAGGTCCAGAAAGTATGCTGAGATCATTGCATC